GTTCTATCCGCACCCGAGGGCGAAACAAAAGGATTGGAAAGGCAAACAAAGAAAAGAGAGAGAGAGAGAGAGAGAGAGAGAGAGAGAGAGAGAGAATGAAGTGCCCTCGTCCATTCATAGACATTAAATACAAACGTCTCGCAGTATGGAAACGAAAACCGGAGAGAAGACACACAAGCAAAAACGTCTCGCAGGATCGAAGATGTACACAGACAGAAGAAAGGGGGAAAAGCCAGAAAAAAAAAAAAAAAAAAAAAAAAACGAGATGTGCAAGATCTTGTTGATTAGCCTCTCCTTCTTCCTATATGGTGTGCCTCCAAAATCCACCCACTACACGAGATCCCGGGAAAAGGAGGGGAAAGACAAAGACAAAAACAAAAACGAAAAAGAAATGCACGCCTGCCTTTCGTCCGTCCTCCTCCTCCTCCTCCTCACCATTACCATCATTCCCATAATAATTATCGAGGCATAATAATCATCATCATGATGATCATTTGGTGGCTGCGACTCTGGCCTTCATCGCCTGCTCATACCGTCTTGTTACGTCACGCCAATTAACGACCTTCCAGATGTGCTTCAAATAATCAGGCCTGACATTCTTGTACTGGAGATAGTAGGCGTGCTCCCAGACGTCGATCCCCAAGATGGACACCAGACCCGCGCCTTTCACCACCAAGGGATCTTGATTGGGTGTCGTGTCAACGAGGAGCTTGCCCGTGTCCTTGTTGACGCCTAGCCATACCCATCCCGACCCCTGCACCGCGGCTCCCGCGGCGTTCACCTTCTTAATTAGCTCATCAAGGGATCCAAACTGAGTCGCAATGGCATCGGCGAGCGGGCCTTGGGGCAGCTCCCCGCCTCCCTTTTTCTCCGGCGCCAGATTTTCCCAAAACTGGCAGTGATTCACGTGACCCCCGCCGTTGAACCGCAGCGCGCCGTGCAAGGCAATCATAGCATGGGTGTCCTTCTTCTTCTCCGCCGCCTCATACTTCTCCAAGGCCACATTGTAATTATTTACGTATGCTTGATGATGCTTGGCATGATGGAGCTCCATGATCTCTGCGCTGACGACCGGCTCCAGCTCGGCGTAATCGTACGGAAGATCGGGCAGAGCCACTGTCTGCACTCCACGTGTCGAGGCCGCCGCCAAGCCCGCCGAAAAACGGCGCCCACCGGCGGCCGACAACTGGCGCAGGAGCAGCGCCATCGCTGCTGGCAAAATGCCACCAGAGCCTGACAGGCAGAAAAAGGGATCTGAACCCTCAACCTTAGGACAGACAGACAGACAGAAAAGCCGAGACGGAGCCGCGCAGAGCGACTCGCTGATGGCGCCAAAACTACAATGCCCTGCACGGCAAAGCACAGCACAGCATATGACACGGGAGCACAAAAACATACACGGAGAGAGAGAGAGAGAGAGAGAGAGAGAGAGAGAGAGAGAGAACCCCAACCCCACAGCGCAAAAGGGGGTGGCTTTAGCGCAAGGACAAAGGGAGGGTTGGACAAAAGTGGACTACCGGTAGGGCCCACTTAGGCAATAATCGCTCTAGCACTTTTGTGCATGTATCTGATCGCAATTACGGCCAAAAATGGATGCATCTGACGGCAAGCACGTCCAGAGCTGAGTCGAAAAAATCCCAGTGTGAGTATTGCCCTTACCCCGATACGTGGATTGTTCATTTCTGGGTGAAGATTACCATTTTTATTTTTATTTGTTTGGGCTGGCCACCCCACAATACGGTCGGTACTGGAAGCATTACGCAGCTTCGATTTGGACAAAAGTCCTAGAGGCCTAAAGGGGGTAAGTCAGCACAGGGTGGGGAGAGGGAGGAGGGGGGCAAGAAGGTGGATGGTTGGGGAATGAGGTAGGGTGGATGGGGAAGGGGGGAGGGGGGTAAGTGATGGGAGGAGAGGGGTGAGTAATGGGGGCAAGAAAAGGGGGGAGGGGGAGAAGGGGGCACAAAGGGTAAGGTGTAAGGCTTACTGAGGGTGAAAAACAATGGGGGGAGGAAGGGGGGGGAAGGAGGGGTGGGGAAGATGCTATGTCACAGGCCTATCTATCTGACAGCCTGATGTCTGTCTCTTGCGATCTACTGGACCAGAATGTCCTGAAGTTGCTGGCACTCTTCCCTACCCCTCCTCCCAGTTGGCCTACCGTGACTCGAATCCAACCAGACACCCCTATTATAAACCTATCTGCAGTGTATGAAAGAAAGATTAGGAGAAAAGAATGGAGAGAATAGAATAGAGGCGGGGAAGGCCAGAGAGGCGCAAGGGGGAAGAGGGAGAGAGCAGGGGTAAAAATAAGAGGTTGAGTAGAGGAGAAGAGGGGAAGAGAACAGCTCGGGGGAGGATAGGCCTAACATAATGTGATCGACGTCTGCATGAGCCGAATCTGTCATGACTCAAGCCAGGGGGTGATGACCATTGTTCCCTCCATCGTGACCACGGCCAGCTGGTTATCCCGCGCCCACATGACAAGGAACCATCTCAAACCTCATTGTGAGGTGCCTCGTGCCGCTTTCCTTGACTAGTCAACCAGAATCAAAGTTCTAATGAGCGTCTTGGTTCGCTTTTGCATGGCTATGTCTAAGGTTCACTTCTCCTATAAAAGAACATTGTTCCTGATGTTATAGATGGCTCGCAGCAAGATTGAGCGGATGGCTTACACTACATAGGTCCGGCCTGTGGTTTTGAACTAGGTGTTGGGGCTCTGCCCGCCAAGCACCCAAGCCTCGTCCCAAGACAAGGCAATGTCTACAAATTGGTACCAATGTTGAGCCCACCATTGCCATGTGTGATGAGACGTTGGGAAGGACCAAGAATCGCCAACCAAGAGTCAATCCCCGCAAGTGGGACCTGGGACTTGGAGGCAAATAGGTCACGTCACATAACGAAAATGACACTTGGTCGTGAGGGGTGCAAGTCTTACTGCCCTGGGGGCCCGGAGTGGGGGAGGGGAGGAAGGGATTTTTCGTCTCTGATCGGTGATCTTCATAATTTGCGATCAGAAATGAAGATCCCAACCACTGGGACCTCAGCCCAAAAGTCAATGACCCAATTGATTGATTGGTCTCAATGACTTTATTACACAAATTTTACATATACATGAACTACGCTTTGGATAGAGTGCATTTAGATTGACCCGACACTTTGAATGTATGAGGACCACCAGGTACATCAAGATTGTTGTATAGTGGAGCAAAGGTTTATTACCTGGTCATCGTAGAGGGTAGGGCCAGCTTACGAGAGTCGGCACACCAACTTAGAGAGGACTTCGTTAGATGTATGAAGCCACAAAAGAAGTTGTTACCGGTGTTGTGTGTGTAGAGAGAGAAGAATACAAAATACGTTTTTTTTTGTTTTTTTTTTTTCTTCCTTTCTTTTTTTCCCCCCTTTTTTTCCTTCTTTTTTCCTTTTCTTGTTTTTGCAAAGGGCGACAACCTTAAGATGTAATCATTTAAGTGAAACACTGCAATTCAGAATCATTTGTGGCTGGTTCGTTCATCATTTAAACATGTCGTCCCTATGTGATTTAAAATTGCAATGTTTTATCAATTTGCTTACACTAAAGTTCAAAAATATATTTGTATTTTAATAGTTCACGATTGTACCGACTGAGTTAGGTAAGTTGCTATGTGTTCAATTCTATTATTTTTGCAATAGGCATTTTGCTTTAATGACAATTTTTCAAATCGGGTTTGGTCCATTGTGGTATGCACCACACATGACCCTTAAGCCCATAGTACGTTAGAGGGTTAGCCACAGGTTGGGGATCGTTAGTCCGCCTTTCGGAGTTCCAGCAGTCACCTAGTAGCTCGAGTCAGTCCCTTCAAGTTTCCTCTAGCCCGCAGGTATCCGACCACATAGGAGGGTCGTTGCAGACCCAGTGGTCCTCCGTAGGTCAGAATTAGTTCGGCATCATTCCTTTCCATTTGAACGTCATTCCACAGATTGGGCGCCATACTTTCCACATTTTGTCATTTTTCAGTTGAGTGTCATTCCTTTCCAGTTCAACGTCATTCCACAGATTGTGCGCCATACTTTTTCAGTTGGGCACCTTTCCATATTTTGCCATTTTGCACATGGGCGTCATTCCTTTCAAGTTGGGCGTCATTCCGCAAACATGAATCGGGCCCCATTCCTTTCCAGTTTGACGCCATTCCTTAGACTGGGCTCCATACTTTTCACTTTACTATTGAGAGTAATTCCCCATTTCGCCACTTTTCAGCTGGGCTCCTTTCCAGTTAGTCACCACCTCTGATACGAAGGCTCACTTCAGCAGTAGGCCCAACAATATCATCATCATCATCATCAACAGAAAAAATTATCATAATTAAATAATAATTTTATAGTAAAATTACATTTTAAATTTCAAACTTTCATTCCACCTTAAAAAATATCATTCCACTTTTAAAATTTTCAGTCATACTTGAAAATTTCCCTTCCAATAATAAGGTATCCCTTCTTATTTTGAATACATGTTGGAGATGGAATGGAAGTCTGGATGAGTTCATAAAATATTTTAATTAAACTATTATTTTGTATAAGTATTTTCAATCATAAATAGGTTAATCCAATTTAAATTAGAAAGTAATTGTTGTAGTAGAATGAAAAGTTAATTAAAACATTTAATAAACTCGTCCAGACTTTCATTCCATCTTCAACAAATAGATATAGTTGGAAGGGAAATATCATTTTTAGACGGGAACTTATCAAATAAAATTCAAAATTTTAGAATTTGACGAACATTGGAACGATAATTTTTAAATATGAAGGATTTTTTTGTAATGAAATATTTTTTGAACTTTCATTTCTTGTGGGAAGTTTTTTTTTCATATATACCTGGGCCAGCCTCATTTGAGGACAAATAGTCAGAGGTGCAGCTCTTCACGTTGTTGACCAGCGCTGTCAGCGCGAATACCCTTACAAGGGTATCCGCCCAGGTTTTTGCAGGTGACAAAAAATAAGTTGGGATTAAAGTTTGAAGTAGGTCGCACGAGGCGTGGCCGCGTCTGGGACATACATTGGCCATGATAGTGGGTGTGTGTGCGCGTAAGTTTTAGATGCGCGGGTGATCTTTTCCCTTTGGTTTGGATGGTGATGACTAATATAAGTTGATCGACATGAATTTTTGACTATTATAGGAATTTGAAAGTTTACATTTTGTTTGACCGGCGTATTTGACCGGCGGTAGTTTTGACAAGCGGGGTGGCGCTCATGGTTGTTATGGCGCAATTGGCGCAAGCCAGTGCGGAAGTCTAGAAATTGCAGGCGTAGTTGCGGATGGAGATAAGGCCCCGGTCGAGTCCTTAGCCTCGAGTCTAGCGCGACACTGGTTTATATAAAAGTTTGCGCATACCGATCTCAGGCTTGGGCTTAGCCCTATAGGTTATGACATTGGACTGTTACTACAGAGGTACGGGGATCGAGGCCAACAGGCGGCAGTATGGGAGTGGCGGAACATCGCGGAAGAGGCTGAGGGGTTAAGGGTCCCGCGGGACTAGCCCGCCCCCAAAAAGGAGCGCTAGCAGGTCCCGCGCCCTATTTTCCATCAATATTTCCATGTATTGTTTTGATTTCTGATTTAGTTCTGTATTTATTTTATTGTTATTCCGTTATGAGTCGGGCGTGGCAAGGAGCCAGAAGTGGGGACCGACGCTTCGGCCAGCAGCCCCGACCTAAGTACCACAATAAGGCACAAATAGATGCGGTTCCAGTTGTCGGGCTGCCGGGTAGTCCTTCGAGGCATCCGCTATAAATTAGGACGATGCGGAGAAGATGGGGTGGGCGCCTATACCAGAACGATACGTATAAATCGAGGGAGGACTCAGACACGTTGCTTTTGTCTTCGGCCGGTTGAATTTTTGAATCGACTAAGAGTTGGGGGTCGTGGGGTCGGAGGCAGACGAGAGTTGCGTTAGTAAGTAACAGGGAGTTGGCGAAGGGGAGAAGAAGGCGAGGAAACTCGAATAAGAAGTTGGGCCGGGTGCGTGCGGAGCAGGGAAGTAGTTGGTGAAGGTAGAAAATAAAACAGATCAGGGAGTGAGGTGGATGAACCCGGACGGGTTAGCGCGCCGGGTGCATTCGACAGTAGAGATGGTAGGGTAGCGAATTCGGGCGCAGTGCAGAGAGGATATCGCACACGATACTTTATGGTTTCTCACAGGGAAAGAGGCGATCCTGAGGGATTTGGGTATGGCGAGTTGCGTGGTGTGTTTAGTTTTAGTGTTAGAATAAGTGTTAGTTTGGCATGAAAGCCGAGAGGTGCGCGGAGCTATGGAGAAGGCGGGAACGAGAAGAGTGAGATAAGCATAGCTCGCTCGTCTCTCGATGAAAACGTGTGACTAAGGATGAGATTCTGGAGTTTTTAGGCTGAGCGAATTCGGATCCGTGACTAGTTTTAGTAAAGAGTCAGTATAAAAGAAGTTAGTAAGAAAAGTAGTTGCGTGGCTGCTATGGCGGAGTGTCAAGAAAGGAGATGGGATATAGAGTCGGGAAGCATATAATCTCGCCATTTCATAATGAGATCTGGCAAGAAGAGATGCGGCATACGAGATTTAGATTAGGGCGAATCTGATAGTCAAAACAGACTATGGGTATGATGTGTGGGTTCAGTGGTGCGAGTCTTAGGTTGCGTAAGGGGGAGTTGGTTGGGCGATGCTCTATGCCACGTTGGGTGGACGCCCTTATCTACGATCCACCGCTGCCCTGCCACCTGTGTTCCCTTAGCTCCGCCGAGGGCTTCTGCAGATTTATGTATTCACTGTGCGGAGTGACCGGGCAGTTGATATTGCTTGCCCCTTGTTTGGCTTGGCTGCCAAGCGACGCATCAGGTGGTTGTGCCTTCCGTGTTTTGATGTTGGTGGACCGAGTAGTTTGGTTGCTTTGTGGCTGGCGTCTTGTGATCCGTATCGCGGCTGCCGAATCAGCTGGACCGGTGTCGAGCACATCAGTCCCGCACGGGGACCCTCCCGGCCGCGTCACGCAGGATTAGGCAGGACTTGTCGCGGAGAGCGTTTGCCGCTCCAGCCGAGTGCGCCAGCCGTACCTCTTGCGAGCCCCTACGACAGGACAGAGTCACGCGAGGCACCGCTTACCTGCACCTGCGGGAGCTGTCACCATCCTTTAGGTGGGCGTATCCCCGCCGAGCTACTGAACCACATGCGAAAGCTCTTCGTATGCAATTGCAGAGGTGGCCTAGCCGAGGGCGTTTCTCGCTCGCTATAGCATAGGGGGTACGCGCGGTCGAATGCCCAAAAATTGAACCCGTACGCGAATCGATGTATTGGGGGGCTGAGGTCCCAAACTCGACTCGTCGCCGATCGACTAGGACGCACTACATACACCACGCGTTGCGCCACAATACTCACACTTACCACGCTTAGCACACAGACACACAACCACTACAAACAACGCCACAACACAACAACTCCTAGTCCCTTCAGTATCCGACCATAACCTTGAAACAAAGTCAGATAAGCATCGCGCGCTGAACTTAATATAAAATGGCGTGAGCGCAGGACCTTTTTATATCAATCATGCGGGCCCGCGCAAGCATTCGCGCTGATGGGTTACAACACGGTACTCGTAGCCTCATGACCCTTGATAATCTCGAGGATCGCGCTCGACACTCGAGTGTCGGCTGACAGGCGCTTTGAGGGATAACCTCTCAATGCCAGACAACCGCCATGTGCGGTTGAAGGCCACACCCTCTTCTGCAACCTGTGCAGAGGGGTTGAGTAGACAGACTCAAGCTGTCGTGGCAGCCCGAGATCAAGGGGTTTGACTTTGACGGCTGCCACGGATTACAACGTTCAACCATAGTAACTCTAAAAACGCATAAATTAAGAAGGGACCTCTCTTTTCTCCCGATGCAGAACTTATTTAGTCACTGTTCGCGACCTCAATGGGTCATGCGGACACAAGAAAATATGATGTAAAAGTTATGAGATAGGAGACGATCACTCTCACAATCACGGCGTGGCTTCCTTTAATATCTATATATGTATATAATCATACGCAAACCCAAGTCTGGACTTCAACTCACAGAACATACCTGTGATCACATCAAAAATTCACATCAACAGAGCACACACTACACGGGGTCAACTTCAACCATTCTTTGCGCCCACACCCCTCGCTTTAGCCATACAAGTCTCACTCTTTGCGCAACTCTTAAAATAAAGTACTCAGCATCTTTATTAAATGACCATTCAATTAAAGTCCGGGTAAAAATAGAACAAAACAACACAAAACACAGAGCTAAAGCCTTTTTAGGTTGGGTAGCAAGAGCGGATTAGAGTTAAGCCGGAAACCGACCTGTTATCAAAGGATAATAGAAAGTGATCTTTGTAGGATCAGTTTGAAGATAGTCAAGCCTTGAATTAATCTGAATAAAGGTGACCTGCAATGCAGCACAGGCCAGTACCCAAGCCATACTTGAGTGATCAAGATATAATTTTGTCTAGCTTCTGATGTTTATATAAAAATGTAAAAAATTTCGACATCATATCCCCTAAACAGGATGGATTGTCAGATTTCTCGTAGCTGAAAATAATCTAACTCTCCAAGTTCTACAAAATTTCGGCAGCGCTTCCCGTAGGAAAAGTGCCTTTCCAGAATTTCTATGAATCCAAAATGACTAACTCTTTAGATTTCTAGAAATTTTGGCAGCGCTTCCCGTAGAAACTTGAACAGGAGGCTGCCAATATTTATACAAAACTGAAAACAGAGATACAAAACAAAGCTATACTTGGGACTAACTCCTGACACCTATTTGATAATTCAGAATCAATGACAGTCTGCACGATCTCTAGGTGAGACCGTGAGCTAACACTGATCCTAACTCCTAGTAGGGTTTGTCCTATCTTATCCCAAGCTTCCCTCCCATCATCTTTCCTATCTGCCTATGGCTCCAGCACTCAGCGAGCATCTGAAATAACTAACCTATCGAAAATATGCCCCAGAGTGAGAGCCCACAAGCATGCATACACAAACATCTCTCACAATCCCACATCAGTTTAGCCCCAATAGTTCATTAAATCACCTAGTTCTTCCTTTTTTACGTCCCCCTCACTTATGGCATATGGTCAAACAAGGCCCTAACCTAAGGGCATGTCTGACCTGGCTAAATAAACAAGTAAGGGTACATACAATTGGACTGCCCTAACCTAAGGG